GGATATTGCTATTGTCATATCTGAAGATATATAGGTCTCAAAAACATCTATTATAAACAAATATATCATAAAAAGTAAAGATAAAGCATTTCACTGCTCCTAAGACTATTGGTTACATAAATAGTGATACAGCAGAAGTGATAAAGAAAAGTTTTTTACTACACAAAATGCACCTGTTTCCCTTTTTTGATCTGTGCTCAACATCCATGGAGCATAAGATGAAAATTTACAGCCAGAGAGGATTATTGCTTATGTGATGTGAGATCAGCTGGACCCATGTACACACTGGCTATCACACAAAATATATCTGGGCCAAGATCCGAAGAGGTGTCTCTGCTATGAGGAATTTACAGAAGACATCAGACAGGTCTGGGTTTTCAGGTGCAGATAGCACCATACTCTTGCTAAGAAGACAAGATAAATGAAGGAAAATAAATCAATGTGTTAATGGATTTCTGTGATTTTATTATTCTCTCCTTTGGCAAATACTTTCTCCCTCTAAGGTTATTTCTGATGTTGTTACTTGTGCCTTGGATTCCCTGTATTGAACCCATGAAAACACAAATATCTGATTCTTTTATCCCTGAAAAATAAAGATTTATTATATACAACTATAAGACTATGTCCTAAAAGGTAAAAGTAGTGTCATTCTTTGTGCAATCATGTTAGAGTTCGTATCCAGTACACTGCCAAGCTTGAAAGACTTTTGTAGACTAAACTCCAAGTTTTTCCTTAACTTTCACTTTTGGAATCTATTTTTCAGGAAGAAACTCCTCTTCCTCTCTAGAGAGAAGCATAAAGTGATGCTAGATGTCCAAAGCTCTTATCTTTAGAAGTCATTTCACTCCAGCAGTATGTTAATGTCACTTTAACTTGAAAAATCCCTGTGTCCATACTGCCTGTCACTTTAAACTCAAATGTTTGGCTTTACAAGTGCAAACAGCTGTTCCTAACAATTTTCAAGGACTAGAGAGCGATGGGAAATGTAGCCCACTTGTGCAAACACAGACTAAAAGGCCTGTTTTAAATAAGGTCTTGAAGGATTTAAGTAGCTTTTAAAAATAATAAAACCATAGAAAGCAGACGAAAACTAACACAAAGTGCACACACATTTAGGCTAGATTACCAAAAATTAGAATAGTGTATGTTTTGTATCATATGTAGCTGCTGTACCGGTGCGTGTTTGTTGGGTATAACACTGTCTGGTTGGTCTAAATTCACTGGTATAAATTCAAATTCCTCCCTAATACAAAGCCAACCTAGACTGATTTTGCATTTTCAAATCAATACTCTTTTACTTTTCCTCTCATAATTCTTTTGAAATTCACCAAAATCCACAAGTTTTGTTAACAGAGTATATGTTCCCATGGAAATGCACTTTTAGGAGACACAGGGCCTATTATCCTGCCATATACTAAAAAAGCCCATGTATTTTTGATTTTTAGATCCTTGGTAAGGATTTTTTGATCCTTGGTAATCCAAGTATTCTTTTCATTACTGGATTTTGAATCCTTGGTAAAGATTTGAGCAAATCTGGAAGCTGTCATGTTTTAAGCAGCAGTGGAAGAAGAATTGTGGCTTCAGGGAATCAAAGGGATCCGTCATTCAGCTAGCAAACAGCAGCCAGCAACATCTGTTGCTTCTTCCTGCCTTACTAAGCTTATTAAGAATATATATTTTGACAAAGATGTAGCACATGGGTGAGCCCAATGTGCTCACCCATGTGTTCTAACCCTGAAGAGAGCAAATTGGGATCTTGCTGCCATTGGAATGAAATCTTCCCTCACATGCTTAGAAAAGTCACTTTTTTTTTTTTTTTCCTTTTTGTTTTCCTTTTTTTTTTTTTTTATTCTTCTAATGTGAAAGAACAGGGCTTTCAGTGAACACAAATTCCCCTCTCAGGTCTGCTGCAGATTTTTTGTGTGACCTCTGCCAAACCACTTAGGAACAAGAGGTATAATTATTACCTCAAAGACTGTAAAAAACACAGGACCAAAACTCCTGCCATTCTCCTCCTACTGAAGATAACCATGTCATTTATTCCCTTTTTCAAACTGATTACCCCCCTGTCTTAAAAGGGACTTCTACTGCCATGGGATTTCTCATCATTACATAATGTCACTTCCAAAGCGTTGCAATTGCTCCTCATCCTGCTGCATCTGTGCGGGACCACCAGCAGTGTTTGTCTTCCTTTCAGCTTCTCCACTCTTCCAACCACCACAGAAATTCAGCTACAAGACCATTCTCATCTTGAATCCATTTCTTCTAGCTCCTGACAGCTGGCAATCTAGGGGGATTCTGGTGATGTTATGAATCCACTCCAGCCTTTGCAATAAATCCCTCACTAACACACCTCAAGGTTCCATTTCTGCATTCACACAGCATCAGAGCCTCTGTAGCAGTTATAGCCAATGGCTTCCCCACTTGAAAATATTTGCTATGAAAAACAAAATTTGGCACCAAATTGCAATTTACAAGCTCTTAAGCTTCTTCCAGGTCTACTGGTGAAGCTTTCAAATGATGCACCATTTTAGGGGTGATGTTTCTGTCTTTACTTCTGGGCTCCATCATGCCTGGCATGACCTTTGAGCTTTTGTCTATGCTTTATCCAACATTATTTTCAGGAAAACCAGGGTGCTTACGGAGTCCTACACATTCCTGCTTACAATCAGTAATAAAGTTGTATATTTTCTCTGAAAAAAAAGGAATGCATTTGCCTTTTTGCACCAGCTGTTGCAGTTTCACTTCCCACTGCTGTCTCTGCTTGTGCTCAGAGTAGAAATGTTGCCTACAGAAATGAAGACGTTTCTTTTAAGAATGTGTGACAAAGATTGACCTTAACTACAGCCACAGCTTGAGTCTCAATATTCCTCCAGCCGCTGCCCTGGCAAAGTAATTTCTGACTGCAAACTCCTTTTGGCAGCACATCCTTTCCACTGGCACCCTCCTGCCAATTCACCTGCACCTTGCTGGCCCAGCTGCTGCAATTCCTGGGACTTGTGTCTCCTCCTATTGTTGTTCCTCCATCCCTAGTCTCTGACAAGTTGTGATGTCTCAGGCAAGAGGTCTCACAGAAACCAAAGTACATCCAGGAGTTCTGTCATCAGGGAGCTGTCTTTTTCTCTCTAGTTTCAAAGATTTTGTGTATCTTTTTGGGTATAGCTGAAATTTGGGTATGTTTCCACTGACCAGTACCTCCTCTTGTGATTTGAGAAGCTCTCCCAAAAGAGTAGGCCTGACTTACTCCTTCTAGGTGTGGTGTGAACCTGTGCAGGATTTGAGCCCCTTGCCCTGGGGTGCACACCAGGAGACAAATACTGTCAATATCTGCAGGGACAGGAACATGTTCAGAGCAGAAACTGTTACTCTCAAGGATTTTCATTGGCTCACAAAATGCAAAATCACTGTTCAAGTCATGGAATCGTGGAATCATTGAATGGTTTGGGTTGGAAGAGACCTTAGAGATCGTCCAGTTCCATCCACCCTGTGCCATTGGCAGGGACACCTTCCACTATCCCAAGTTGCTCCAAGCCCCATCCAGCCTGGCCTTGGTCACTTCTAGGGATGGGGCAGCCACAGCTTCTCTGGGCAACTGTGCCAGGGACTCACCACCCTCATAGGGAATGTTCTCCTCAATATTCCATCTAACCGTGCCCTCTGGCAGTGAGAAGCCACTCCCCTTGTCCTGTCACTCCAGGCCCTTGTGAAATCTCTAGTTTTCTCTTCTCTCTACTCCAATCCCAACACAGTTCCACAGACTGGAGTTCAGAGATGCTCCATATAAAGGTATCATGACCCTCCTGGTGGTAATGCCTGGGATTCACAGCAGAGTCAACTCTGTGACATGAGGGTGCGCTTTTTGCAGGGAGTTGGTACTGGAACACTTTGGGGTTTACACCACTATTAGAAAAAGTCTCCAGAGCTGAATAAATTGCCATTCTCTGTCTAAATAATCAAGCACGGGTGACAGATTTTTTAAGGTTTGTTTGTTTGTTTGTTTGTTTTGTTTGTTTGTTTTGTTTTTTTAATAACGAATGTTGTCAGTCCTTTTTATTATGCATAATAGAAGGAGGTGAAAAAAAATCAAATAAGCACTGCATCTAACCTAATTAAAACTACAAACACAATGTTATTTGAATGTCTTACAACATTGTTTAAATCCAACAAGTAGACAAGAAAACAACAAATCTATGCAGGGGTTTTTATACATATGGTGAAGAAAATTTGCAAAGTGTTAAAATATATTTTCTGTTCTGTATGTTTCTGGTACAAGGAAGTGATGTGTGGATTACTGTATATTTATGAACAGAGCCTTGACTTTTACAAGCAATAATCAACTTCAAAACATACAATGTATATCTTAAAATATCCCCTAAAGTTGCTCATATAAAGTCAAATCCAGCACCTACTAAAGTTCAGCCAGCTGACTCTTTGACTGGGCGCTTGACCAGGCCCATGGTAATTGTGAAGTACCTGACAGGCTAATTGTATTCATATGAAAAAAATCACATTGCATAGATTTAAACAGGAAGACATGCAATAACAAGACAAGTCACAGTATAGCAAAAAACCTTGTTTCTTTGGTGAAACAGAAGCAGATATAAAAGTTACAAAGATTTTAGACTTTCATTCACAAAAAAAACCCCACACATTCACATTATACACTATACAAGATAATAATATAAATAGAAAAAAGTATTATGTGCATTGTTTGGGGGCGAGGGTTGGGCAATGAACTGGCCAACTGTGTTGGACACATGGGGGTTGAGCAGCCACTGCCTTTTCCTAAGGGATGTTGTCTGAACCATGATCTCAGTTCCCAGCCTATGGCCTGGTCACTCCATGGGCAGCTCTGCCACG